GAACGTTATCACTAGAAATTGTACCATCCCGCAGCGTATTAAATTAATGATACCTGTCAGAATTTGTTGAAAACGCTCCTCGAGACGTGAAGGTTGTATACAAAAGCGGAGCCCTGGCAAAGCGGCCATCATTCACTTGTACCAACAATGGAGCAATAAAATGTACAAGAAATAAAGGGGAACGGCCGCTTCGCAATGTACGTCACGAGATAACAGCCCGTTTCACGCTGTGATACATTCGTCATTTGTTATGTTTCCCGATATTTATGCGAGTGCACATTACATATTGCGGAATTCAACTGTGAACTAGTGGAAGGACAGTTAGATATGTATATTATCATGTATACTATTTGTCTTCGTAATGGCATTATCTTTCCTACCCATAAACCATTTCAATGTAGTTACATAATTTATTGTTAATGTCGTTTCGTTTGTAACTTCATATGCTCGAGCACATCTTGATTACAAATAAGAAGTTATACAGACTTTCGTATTGTTTATCGTTACTTTACCAAGATAATAATGAATTGCCTATAACAGTCCTCCCCACCTAGCCTAAATGTTGTACGCATGGTGCCTCCACTAACCAGTCCAGGTGACGGTGCCAGATGTAGCCGGTGTCCATCTTAATTTTGTAGTGCAGGCGTTCTAATCGTGTTAACACTACCAAGTTCCCAGTTCTGTCACGGTCTGCATAACTCCTGTTTGTACGCGGTCACCCGCTCCAAATTCTTGGCCAGGATTATTCTCAGCATCTATGCTGCTTTCGTTAATTGTTTGATCCGCATTAGTAACCACGTCCTTCATCTATTTTAGTCTTCATTGTATCAGAAAACTTCATTCTATTCTACCAGCCGTTTTCCTCAGATTATTCACATTACATCTTTTGTCTACGAGTATATTTTGTATATTTGAGTTCTTTAATATGTCACAGCTTCGTAAATTGTCGCATATTACACACAAATTTATACGGGTATGTTTATTGTGTCATGTAAATTAGAAACAAATGATAATAAATTATTTGTTAGCGTATGACAGTTCATTACTATTATGTTATTATTTTCATCTCATTGGCATATAATTTTACTCGATTCTTGAAAGATTGTAAAGGTCTTAAGGAACATAAAACACAATCATACTAAAACTGCTGTAGTACTTCGTATATGACAGAAATTAATAGTTCAAAGTTTATCGCAATTATAATACGTTACCGATTTAGCAAGAAAAGTTTACAAAATCTTAGACCTACCTCATATATTTTTTTAATTAAATGCAATCTGATCTGTATATATTTACATAGTATAAAATAGAGTTTAAATCTTTTAAACTACACAACGAATTTTAATGCAATTTTAGCAGTAGATAGAGTGATTCAAGAGGAAGGTTTATGAGTATAATAGATGTACATCCGTGCGAAGCCGTGCAGGGTAGCTAGTGTATTATATAGTATTATTATACCCTTTCAGTTACACCGCATATTTGGATATGTCTCCATCTGGTCGACGGAACAAGTAACATCACTTACATCCATTCAAAATCCTTTATTCCCCCATATTTTGTGAGAGGAATTTGACAGCAGCCATTAATTTATCCCATAACCACGCTGTGTAATGCCGCCCGCGATAAAGTGTGCCTGAGTGCAATGAAGTATTGTTAGGGTTGCTACGTAAATTGGCTTGTCTAATCTTTATTAATTACTTTCTCCCGTTAACTTTAAATTTTCAAAAATCCTAAGCAAACGTTCTATTTATGAAATAAATCTAAAAATGTTCCAAATTTGAATTAGCTATCGTTAACTTTAAATTTTGAAAAATCCTTAACGAACGTTCGATTAATGAAATAAATCTAAATATGTTCCAAATTTGAATTAGTTATCGCTAACTTAAAATTTTCACAAATCCATAGCGAACATTCTATTTATAAAACAAAACTAAGTAAGTTCTAAATTTGAATTTTCTAGACTTAGCTTACTTTTACCGAGTTGACAGTCATTTAGTAGATTGCTTTGTAAGCTGTGTTGGGAGGTTAGATATGACAGTGTAATTACAGGCATGACACCTTAGTCCTTTCGAATGGCAACACAGAGGGATACTACACACGTCACACGATGTCTAGATATGTGTTGTGCCGTTCTCGTATACATGTGGCAATTTTCACCTATATCAAAATGATTTGGTTGGGAGTTGATAAATAAATCTGGACACACGATAGTAAATACCAAAGTGAATCTATAATTTTATTAAATTTATAGTTACGATAATACATACCTATACCTGGTATCAAACCAAATTAATTCGAGAGACAGTAGTAATCCTGCCCCCTGTCACGTTAGATTCAAATTAGCTCAGCTAAATGTGGACCTGTCAAGTGTCACGCTTACCATAATATCAATAGTCGATAATACATTCTGTTACCTCATCTAGGGGTCCAGAAACAAAATGAAACAATATTTAAAGATGTATGACACATGTGATCCATAACTTTTATTTTACTTTCCTTTTTTATTTTTTCTTACTAATAGATATAGCTGTATTGCTATTGAAATCAAAATTAATTGTTATTTGAAACAATATTTGTAACAGATAAAGGCCCCACTCGACAAAAATTAATTTCAGGGATCCATTAATTTTCACAAACAAGGTAGAAATTTCACACCAAAATTTGTGCCTTAACATAATATTTGATACTATTTTATATCTGTTAAAATTTGCGGTATAATTAATTTCACCCTGAGGCTATATGCACAAATAAAAGTACCGCAAAAGATGATAATTTACAATTATTTTTACTTTGGAATAACATATTTTAATTTATTACATACTTACGAATGAATCGTGTCAAGTGGGACAGACGAGAGTGATTCTTCTGTCTTCTTTTAAAGAGTGATAACCATATGTTAACTCAATAATAATGTAATAGGTACGAGAGTTTTCGTTTATAGCATAGAGGACAAATATGTTTGCTGCTCAGGTGAGCATACCGTCAGGTAATTGTAAATGATTACTGCCGCCCATGAGCACCCGCTGCATCAAGGGAAAACGTAGGATGGTGTTTTAGTTACTTTTGGGTGGTGCGATGGTGAAATACTGCAGCTGGTAGTAATCAGAAGGGCAGCCTTAATGTTTTTACTTAATATAAGCGTTGTACTGATAGAGCTGATGATACTAAAGTTTCAGATAAAAGTAGAGTTATTTTCTACTTCGAATTTGATTTAATTTTATCTGTACAGACTACTTTTACCTTTAGTACTAATCATGTATCCTCATAAATTTAGTTTGCACTGTAATTTGAATTTTACATAGTATGTAAATTTTAGGTTAAATCAAATGGGGACATCAGCCAATACGTAAACTCTGGAGTATAGGATAGTTATGAAATTTTACTTTTAATTTTTTCGAGTTGGGGACTACCAGAAAAATGATTCAAAAGTGGGCGTAATCTACCAGCATTACCTACTAAGCCAGGCTCACCTAAATTATTGATAAGACTGAAAGTAAATAAGTTTATTACCATGTTAGTTTTAGTAGGTACTTAAGTACTTAAGACCGACTGTTTAAAATTCAAGGAGCTTATAACCCGGACTGCGGCGAACTAAATTAAATACAAAGTCGCTTCTCCCCGGTCGAGACGTAAATATCCCTGCAACTCCGTACTAGGGATGTGACTTTGTGCACAAAAATATCAAATCAAATCAAAATATTTTTATTCAGGTAGGCCTAGTATACACTCCTATGACATGCTAAATTTACAGTCATTATACCTTATTATATAATCGATTTTAATTCTTAGTGCAACTATTTATAAAGTGAATAATAAGTTTTAAAAAATAATCGAATTATATACTATGTCTACAGAATTTAAAATTTTTCTTTTTTTATACATCACCACTTGGCATTTTTTTTCGAGTACGTTGTTTCGCCTGTAATCAATTAGTGTTGTTACATCTATGCTACTACATACTTCTATATTTAACCTATTTATGTTCTTCTTGTGTTTCCCTTCCTTTATGTTGGAGGTCTGTCTAAGTAGTTTTATTACTTCCGGTTTTTCGAGAGTCGTGAGACACAAGGTATTGTACGAGCAGCCGGAGCCGTGAGCGGATGGTGGTCTGTGAAACAAATAGAATTTTAGATATGCATATTCAACTACCAATTTGTTTCATAATCGAATCGATAATTTACTCAAGCGCTCCACACTGTGTAAAGTTCAAATTATTTCTGCATTCTGTTATAAATGTTCTGTTTCTGATTGATACTCTGTTCTCAGAATTATTTCTATTATAATTAATTGATTGCATGACTTCTAGCTGCAGGTACGACCTATTCAGCGGTTCTTCAATTAAGAAATGAATAGTGTAATGCTTTCTCCAATAAATATCTCAGGTTTAAAAGTCAAGTTGAATGTTTACAGATTATTGTGAAAGGGAAAATTATTTTATTTGTTGCTTCCTGGGTCATTTATAGTTCAAATACTCGTTACAAAATTTGTCTATATGTAGGAACATATTATTATTATCTGCGATGGAGAGGTACAACTATTCTGTTGCAAATTTCAATTTTGTTTAAAGAATAAATAACCCTGGTCAATTAACACATCGCCATCTAGTCCCATGGTAACTGCTTGGGTACTAGACTACTGATATACATACTTAGATTTTTTTGTAAATATATACATAGTAAACACCCAGACCAATACAAACAATCATACTCATGAATACAAATGTTTGCACCGTCTGTGCGTGGAATCGAACCAGCGACCATCGAAAGTAAGGAAGTGAGCGATATGTTTGCGGCTAAAATAGGTGAGACTTATGTAGGTACCTATGCAGACGAGTTTTTATAGTCTACCTCGTTAAAAATAATCATCATCATCATCATCATCAGCCCACTACAATCCACTGCTGGACTCAAGGAACGCCACTGGGTACGATCTTCAACAAAAAAATATTATTACAAGTATATTTAGCAGAAATATAACAATGTTTATTTTTTTATTAACAGGTGGGCTGGCTCCGAGCTGAAGATCAAACAGTTTTATCGTTACACGAGAGAGTGGTCCTCGGTCCCCGGTATACAGTCAGCTTGGATACCCCAAGCACTTGGCAGTTAAGGATCCGGCCTCTAAAAGCAGAAGATCGGGGCTGCTACATGTGTCAGATTAATACACAACCAAGCATGAAGTGGCAGATTGGATGCATAGATGTATACGGTGAGAAATTTTATACAAATATGTCAATTCTTCCAATATGATCACATTAAATTAACTAAAATAAAACGAACTAATTTGTAATAAAAGCATCGTGGCTTAGTGGTTTACATACCCTGAATTATGCCCAAGAAGTCGTGAGTTCAATCATGTGGACCTTCATTACAATATCGACAATCGATCTCAATGTCTCTGACTACCCCATATGGGACAGTAGTGGTGATGGTATGTTTTATATTTTGTTTTTATTTATTGTAAGAACTCATTAGACATTTAAATAAAGTTTAAATATAGTGAAACTTTCTATTTTGTTAATAATATAGAAAGTTTCTGTCATATTAAATAATAAATTCCAATTAAATTCTATAAATCAGTAAACAGATATAATTTATTAAGTATACCCATAGAGCACTTAAGTAAATTAGAAAGCAACAAACCGAATTAGAAACTTTATGAAGGTGTATTCAACTGTGAACATTCCCAAAGGAAACTTCAAACGAACGATTTCTTTAAACGCATAATAGGTAAAAATAAAAAGAGGGGAAGTCTTTAAGCTTATTAAGGATAGGACCGATCTCAAGCTTCAAAACATTTCAAAGTACTTACGTCGAACTTAGAACAAAACTCAATATCAATGAAACGTCTCGAATGAAAACAGTGGGAAAGTATTTTTCGTCGAGAAAAATAAATCACAGCTAGCTCTACTTTTCCACCAATAGCGGGGGCCAACTTTTATCGCTTACTGCTCAAATTAGTTTGGAGGTTATTCTTTTTTTCACTCCTCGAGTTTTGAAGTATGGATTTCAATATTGAATTTTCACTATGTCTCGAAGTGGCGTCCAAAGTTTGCGAACGACTGGGAGATTTAATAAAAGAACGACATACAGAAATGTAGGTAATATCAAATCTCCATAGATTATGTATATAGAAATCGTTGAGAGCATCGTGGTCTAGATGTTGCTACTCTTATTTACATGAGTAGTAGTTACATTGTGAGTTCAAATCTGTCTAACAAAAAAAAATTCCTGTGTTTATTTATATGGATATCTGACTGACTCTTTGGTAAGAGAAACACCGTCATCAAAGTAAAAGTCAGTCTATGAAAAGGTGGTAGGCATACCTCACATTGGATTTAAGTATCAATGACTTCGGTGATCAATTGGTTTAGAACACTGCTTTATTTCTGATGGTCGCTGATTCGACTCCTCGCATGGCGTATTTGTATTGTATGTATATGAGTATGATTGTTTTTACCGGTCTAGGTATTTTGTATGTATGTTATATATGTATTTACAAAATCTAAATATTTATATCGGTTATCTAGTAACCATAACACAAGCACTTCTTACCTTGGGACTAGATGGCGCTGTGTGGATTGTTCAGGGGAAAAAAGGATACTCATTTGCATTCTACGATATGCTTATGTAGTGCAATAGTACGGCTATTGTAATACATTTAGAACATCATCATACAAGGCTCTACATGCCATACGGGTCCATTAAGGTCTTAGAGTTGAGGTCCAAGTTCTTACTTGTCACTTGCGTCTGATGGTTGTTTCATTACTGAGATGGTTATAAGATAGCGTAATATTAATACATCAACTGTTACGTTCATTATGTCATCAACAGTTCATAATGCTTATGAATACACACTTGGATAATATTCATCTTGGTATATCTTTCTTATATATAAAATTCTCGTGTCACAATATTGGCTACGACACTTTTTCGAAACGGCTTGACAGATTTTTATTAAATTTTATATGCAATTCATCAGGTCTGAGAATCGGCTACGATCTATTTTTCATACCCCTAAGTGATAAGAGTTACCCCTAACATTTTTTTTGGGCAAATATTTATTATTTATTTCTTTATAATGTGACATTAAAAATATATACAACCCTAAATTTTCACCCTTCTATCACCAACCCCTATTTCTTAGCGATTTTAATTTATATAGCAGAACATTTACTGGGTCAGCTAGTATTACATATATTGTTGGATTCAATATTATTTAAGCTGCCGACGATGTACCAACATCAAAAGGCCACAAAGTTAAAAGCCAATAAAACCCAGTACGCAGCACTTGTGCCGCATCCCCTATACTCCCTTCGCTTATGTAAATAGCACTGATCCGAACAAACGACATGGGTGATACACTTGAGTACTCGTAAACCGCTATACCGACTCAGCTGCTAAAATGTAGATGCTCCTGCTTATGAAATCTGTTGCATTCAACGTAGCGTCTCATTAAAACACTCATTAACTCTTCTTGGTTACGTAGTGTTATAAATATATTTTTTAAATTTATTTAGCTTTCATATATGTAATTATAGTTTTAAGTGTGTAACAAATAATACGATATTTATATTTTTTGTCTTCATAAAAGTATATGTAAAGTCCTATGTAGGTATTAGCCTCTTCCAGGGGGCGCTGGGGATTGTTAGGTTGATCTCCACGCGGTCTTCCCTGAAAACCATCATAATAAGTTCCTCGTGAATTTGTATATGTACCTACATAGTATTTACTATGGAGGTCCAATATACAAATTCATTCATTGCCAAATGGCAATCTACCTAATCATGTCTAGAATATCTAGAGGATATTTTCATGTTAACCTGATTAAGTTTGCACAAATTTAATACTGTTATAGAAATAACTAATACTGATTAATAAACTGTCTAACAGTTCCGCCTGATATAATAAATGAAGAGACATCAGCAGATGTATCAGTTCATGAGATGGATAACATCACGCTGATATGTAAAGCGACTGGACACCCACCTCCGAAGATAACTTGGAGACGGGAGGACAATGAGTCGATGCTATTGAAGAAAGTTGGAGGCAGGGACTTTTATAAAGGTAAGTTAACACTTGTATATGATTTAAATAAGAAAATAAAATTTTATTTACATACTTTATGGTATGGGTAAGGACAGGGAAACTTTTATTTAAATACCTTAAAACTTTTATAATTTAACCTACGAGCTATGTGACTTGCCTATTGTGAAACTGATGTAGCAATGGGTAGGGCATATAGATCGTAGGACTAATGGCAGTTGGGGCAGTAAGGTCCTCAACTGGCTTCCCCGGACCGTAAGATGCAGTGTGGGGAAGGCCTTCAACAAGGCGAACCGACGATCTGGTTAGGTTCGCTGTAAAGCGATGGCTGCGAGCAGCGGAGGACCAATCGTCGTAGAGATTATAGGGGAGAGCCTTTATTCAGCAGAAGACATCTTTCGGAATGAAATGATGATGATTAACTATTCTTCTTGTGAATCCTAAAGCTTCTTGAATAGAAAAAGAACTGAATACATATACATAAGTCAATAGTTCTGCCACACACTCTGTGACGTATAACTCAAGTTTTAATATCTAATTAAATTTCAATTTCACTAGAACCTTATAGTATTATTAGCTAATTTTTGTAATAACTGTAATAATAAAAATTTATTGTTACAGTTATTATAGGTTAGTTAGGTAAATACCTCGTTCAACAAATACTTAAGAATATTTTAAAAATTACGAAATAATACAACTTCGTTAAATATGCATCAACGAGCTTAAACTAAGGACTCTATATTAGCCCTTCAGAGCCCTTTTGAATATAAATCTCCGAAGGCATTTAACTTAACCAGATATTGGAAATAAAAGAGGACTGTCTGTGTTTATTTCAAACAAAATTTTATCGTTTCATCTGATCATGAAGATATCTTTGTAGGAAAATGAAAGGGACTGACAGTTAAGGTACAAATAGGTTTGGGCACAAAATATTGAAAAATTATTAAGCTTTCATGGTTATGACATCTATTTATTATTTGTGTTTTAATATATTTCAATTGAATCCGTAAATCCTTTGAATAATATGCAGCAAATTTATATTTTATTTTCTGGAAGAGTATCTAAGGTAGAATATTAGTTTTTACGAACTATTCTACTATTATTATTAACATACTCTGTATGAAAAAGAGTCTAGTGCAGAAGGTACTTCAAAAACCAGAGGTTGTCTAAGTGTACCTTAATCTCTCTTATTTAAGCGACCAAACAGCTTGCTTTGTAATCTTTGTTTCAGTTGTAGGGTACACTTAGTATGATATTACAGTCTAAGAAGCATGACATCTTAGTCCTCTAGAGTGTCAACGCATGAGTGGTATCGCAGGTGTTACATGATAACGGAATATCAGATGTATTGTTTATGTATATAGGCGAAGGATGGGGTATCCTTTACATCTCTTAATATCAGGTGGGCCGTATCTTCTTTGCCATTCCAATTACTTAAAAAAACATACATAAAGGGGCATAAAGCCAACTCCTACCTGACGAATAAGTTTTATCGAACCTCGGCTTAAGTGGTTGTAATTTCGATCCCCGTTTGAATGGGACAGAGGATCGAGAGAAAAAGGGACAGGATCGATCTGAGGGAGAAAATATTCATGTGTTAAAAATTGACACGTAAATGATTAAAGCCGATATAAAAAATCATGTTTTTTGTGGAATAAGATCCAGAATTGATAAAACAATACTCCTAGATACAATAGCTGCCTTTACACGTACTCTAATTCAAGTGCGAATAAGCTATCTTGCAGGAAATAATGTGTACGTAAATATAAACAAAGAGAACGAGAATGACCGCGCGTGTGGCCAGCTTGCGTATTTCCGCGTCCTTTAATCGTGCGTTCCTTAGCGCCTTTTTATAATAATTAATTATCATTGCAAATGGCGGACATCCGACTATGGAGTATTTACGTAATCATAAAGTTATTAATAAAAATATATTTTTATAAATTAATATCTGTGGAATGTTTGACATAAGTACCCAGCCCAGAAGACGCGGCAGACCCCGTCTCACATGGATGTCCGTTATTGAGAGGGATATAAAAAGCGCCAAAATAACATCCCAGGACAGAACGTCCTGGCGAAGACTGACCAGACGGGCCGACTTCAAATAAATGGGACCAAGGCCAGGCAAAAGAAAGAATATCTGTGGAATGTAAATTACACTTTTAAATTAAAAATTTACATTTTAAAAGAAAGTTAAAGGACATTTGTAAACATTTAATGACTTACGATAAATCACGCGATGGAGTCGACACAAAAAAAAATAAAAAGCAATCACGTTTGCGCGCGCTGGCTTTCCCGCGCTAAATCCGGCGTACACCTGATCGCTTTTTGTTTTCGGACTACTCTGATGCTGTTGGCTGCTTAACAGCCTCACCGGACGATAGGGAGCGAGAGCAGATGGTACTCCAAACCCGCGGACTTATGGAGCGGCTGAATGCCAACTGCCGGATACTTTACTCTGAGGGCACCGCTAAGGGGTAATTTCGATCCCCGTTTGAATTGGACGGAGGGTAGATTGGAGGGAAGTCTGATGTCGCGTGAAAGAACGTGTCGTGTAAAAGTAGTTAATAAGGTGTTTCTATTATGCAGTTGTGAGCTACGTGGGCATGTCACTTCCGCTATGGCGTGTCGATCGACGGCAGATGGGAGCCTTTCTATGCATCGCATCCAACGATGTACCACCTGCAGTCAGTAAGCGGATCACACTTAACGTTAATTGTAAGTATAAAAAAAACTTATTTCTACGTTAGTTTTTTGAAAATGAACCGCCAAAATACTGATCATAAAGACAAGTTGCGAATAAAAACTATACAAAAAATAACACTTAACTTGATTCTGAGGTAAATGTAAGAACCTGTTATCTGAATAAGGATAATCTTACCTTTGACTTCTTTACAATTTCCGACGGCCTTAGTGGTCTAGCGGTTTAAAACACCGCTTTACTTCTGATACTCCCGGGTTCGATTTCTCGCACGGAGCAAACTTTTGTATTCATGAGTATGATTGTTTTTACCGGTCTGGGTGTTTTCTATGTATATTATGTATGTATTTACGAAAAAAATTTCTAAGTATTTATATCAGTTGTCTAGAACCCATAACACAAGCTCTGCTTACCGTGGGACTAGATGTTGCTGTGTTTGTCCAGGCTTATTATTATAGGGTTATTTGAATTTACCAATATCTAGTTATCACATTTATAAATTAGGTTTAATTATGATTATTTATAAATTGTAAAAAAAAAATCTTGATCGACGCAGTCAAAGTCGCGTGTAAAAATTAGATAAATATGGAGAAGCTTCTAACCAAAATGACACCTAACATATCTGAATAAGGCTACCTAATCTTACCTTTGGCTTCTGTACAATTAGCCAATTATCCAGTTAACATCGATATAACATCTCTAGGTTTAATTTATCTAAGTCTTAATTCATAAGAGTTTGGCCACTTGAAAATTAAAACATAAGAAATAATTGCAACTAATATTATAAATGCAAAAGTGTGTTTGCTTATTTATTAGGCGATTAAATGATTATTATTAACAAATTTGACATGTATGTAATATAGAAAATCGAGGAGATTATAGGATACTTTTTAGTCATATCGCTATCAGACATAGGGCATAGGAACGAAAGTGCGGCCAGAAGTTAATTAAATGCAGATTTAATATTAGTAAATATGTAAAATTAAGATTGTTTGTTTTTTGTATAATTAAATATTGAGTCTTAATTCAAATCTGATTCCAATCAAAAATAATTTATTTATGTAGGACATTTTAGTCACTTTATAAGTGATCACATCAAGTTTTTTAGTATTAAAAATATTATAGAGGATCATATTTTCCCAACGTAATTAATATAGGATCGAATAATTCTACGAGAACGGCATAAATTTTTAAATTCTAATATTTTTTTTTTACAATATTAATACGGATCAATGGAAAGAATAGTAAAAACAATATCCTATTACGAGTATTATATCGAACTAGCTTATGCCCGCGGCTTTGCTCGCGTTAACATATGCCCTTACGGGTGAAATTTATCAAAATGGGGATACCTACGTCATAGTAGCTTTATGCATGCAAAATCTCAGCCCAATCGGTTTAAAATTGACAAAGTATCATCCCCTATTTTATACCCTTGGGGGCAGATTTAATCAAAATCCTTTCTTAGTGGATGCCTACGTCGTAACATCTACCTGCATGCCAACTTTCAGCCCGATCCTTCCAGTGGTTTGGACTGTGCGTTGATATATCACTATGTCAGTCACCTTTGAGTTATATATATATAGATTTTTATTTAATACTCTCCACAAAAAAACTGTTGATACTTATATATCCCATTTTTGATATCCCTGGTATTGTAGTATTAACTATCTATTTTTGTACCACGTATTTTATACATAATTATAAAATTTCACTTACAGTTATGTTATGTATTTTCATAAATACAAACAGGTCGCCGATTCGCTTAACACTTATACCAGCTTCAGATCGCGATAAAGCCGAATTGATCTCCCTCTTGTAAGCCGCCCTACCGTATAATTGACTCTTCCTTGCCATTGACTGAGGAGCCTCATAAGCTGGAATAAAGACCTCATATTTGGGGAATATATTAGTTACCTTAGTTTATGGCCGTCTCTGTTTACGAGTTTGAATATCGAATGTTTTTTTTCTTATTTCAAATTAACGTCAGAATATGCAATGAAATAAAAACTTTTTATACTTTAGTCATTTTCAACTTCGTTCACGATAACATTTTTAGATATGACAACTCCCTGCTTTTTTTAAAACATTAAAATTCTGTAGTAATTTATTGAATTTTCTACAGGCTTATGCTTTGACTGCTAGAAAACACTTTAATAGTATACCATTTATATACATCCATCGACAATAACGAAAATGTAGTCAAGAATATATTAGAGAGAACTAATTTTATATTTCGGGGTAACGATATATAAAAATTATTTTATTAGATATATGTATTTGTTTATTTCAATTGAGAATTGCATAAGAGTTCATGAGAGACAATATTTGTTTCAGAAACATTAACGGTAAATATATATATATAATATATTAATATTATTTATAATATGATAATTATTTAGTATAAATTATTCCTAATAATAAAATAAAATTTATTATAGATATAAATAAATAAATGTATACTTACTTGCAATTGAGAATTGCACGAGAATTTCCAGGTGGATCAGAACTGAAAATTGCAAAAACAAGAAATTGAAATTCGAATCTCTGTTAACGGGAAACATCGAACAGGGCGTATTTCACGGCTCATCGGGCGTCCTGGTTCCCGAACCTCGAAACCCGCCACCGGGATCAATCCCGAGTTTATCAGAACATTGCCTCCCGTACACTAACCGCTGCCAAATCCCCCACTCATAGAATTGGCCAATTTTATTTGGAGAACCCCGGATCATTTACGTTGAGTGTTCCATTTTAATGCATTTAGACTGGTTTTTGATCGGTCCAATAATCATGATTTGTCGGTTTCGGTGCCGTTCGTGGAATCTTCTCGTTTTCGTGAACGGAAGGCAATCTCGCTACTTCACCGAGATGTGGGAGCTTGAGCTCCATAATTATGAGTCTATCTACAATTCTCTTTTATCATTTGAAGTAATTGTGAAATTATAACTGACTAACTATTACACGCGACTGCGTCTGATTTTATTAGGCCTCGTATCATCGTCGTCAATCTACATTTATTTTAAATTTTGTTAAGATCCGTTCAGCTATTTAGTTCTGAATAAATAACAGAGATACACATATTCAATATTAATATGAATTTACAGTTTGAAATACAATTACAATTAATAAAATATATTTATTAATTGTATCTATTCATTATTCCAAATATTTAGATAGCTTTATTTGCATTATACAATGATAAAAGATTGTTAAAACTAATTAGTAAAATAAACAAATGTGTATAAATTCTAATTATATTATTAGAAACTTATATTTATATACGAGAATATCGTGTACAAGTAAAGTAATAATAATGTAACATAATTAATATAAATAAGTATAATTCTGCAAATTTATATTGTAATATACTATTCAAACGTATTTGAATAAATTCATTGATTAATTGCCGCTAAAGACTATTGAAATAGATTAGATGATTTAATCAATTGAGCCATTCAATAACTACGAGCACAATATATAGCTCATCCATACACTAACAATTGTTGTGGCGTTAACAAAGAAATAAATAACTCTGGATAATTAACACAGCGCCATCTAGTCACACTTTAAGCAGAGCTATATTATGGGTGCTAGATAACTGATATATTTTTTGACTTAGATATATTTTTTTTGTAAATACATACATAATAGAAATAGAAAACTCTCAGACCGATACAAACAATCATACTCATGAATACAAATATTTACACCGTTCGTGGTTACGAACACGCGACCATCGAAAGTAAGGCGGTAATAAAACTGCTGGTGCTAAACTGCTAGACTACTGAGGCCGTTAATATTATAGATATATATATATATGTATATGCAATGAAAGACGTTGTTTTGACGTCAACCGGCACGACTAATAAGTTTTACTTTAAAAATAATAAAAGCGTGAACAAGACTTATTAAAGCAAACTCCTTATTGGTTCATCGAAATCCGGTAAATACCGGATCAAACCGTCTAAATCTGGTTATTAGCCGGAATAATAATGTTCCTAATGTTCACAGTTCCCCCAACAGTTATAGTGCCCAATCAGCTTCTTGGGGCTCCTCTGGGCACTGACGTGGTACTGGAATGCACTGTTGAGGCGTACCCCAATACCATTAACTACTGGCTCAAGAATAGGGGAGAGATGTTATTAGATGGGTAAGTTTAGATATAGTAATAATGTTATATATTGACTACAGGTCTTTTTCGAACTATTCAAATGCTGTTGGCCGCAGCTGGCTTTTACAGCTTCACCGAACGGGGACGAGTGCAGTTGGTACTCCAAACCCACAGTTAAGCAGAAGTAGAAGATCATTTATTCAATTAAACTTAATTTAAGGACATTAGAATAGTTATAAGATTTTTTTTAATCTACCGCTCATTCGGCATTCTCATCACAAGAAGAACGAGCAAGAAACTTGTGTGTTGTTCGTTTAAATAATCCTTATAAGTTCACATTTTAGAAGTCGAAACGTGTGAATACAAACTACGAAGCAGCACTAATTTGTTAGGGTCAAATATAAATAATATTATAATATTTCTTTATTGACACAATAAGATTACGCAAGGACTTATCTAATGTACCCTTAATGCAATGGCTCGCGTATGCGCAAATAGAATATAATGACGTAGCATCAGCGTTAGAAACTCCAACAAAAATATGTATTAAAACCTCTTCAATCATTTATTTTATAATATTCAAATATAGAACGATGTGTTCTCTAGATTATGATTGTCATTTCTTTTCTGTTTCTTCAATATTTGTTACACCGTTGATTATATCGAAAATATTATAAAAATATATAATTAGAATTTAAATAATAAATTTGATGTTTTACCCGAAAACAAGAAAATTTCTTCCAGTCAACTTTTAAATATACATATATTTAACTGATATGTATGTTATTTATGTGTTGTTAATAATTGTATATTTTTCAGGCCAAAATACGTCATATACGAAGAGAAGTCATCGTACAAAGTGATTATGAAATTAACTATTTGTCAATTTATGAAAAGCGACATTGGAACATACAACTGTGTGAGCACAAATTCGCTCGGCAAGGGAGAAGGAACATTACGACTTTATGGTAATAACATAGATAAACTATTTTTAATGAACTGAAATTTATTTATATAAAAAGGTATATACAAATAGTTTCAAAAATTGTTGTGAAAAATAGAAGGCAGTAAAGAAACCATTGAACTACCCTCCTAAACAGCTTATTCATATGAATGCTGCTCATAAAGCAGTGCAGTTTTAGAGCAGTTTCATCCTGCGCATACTCATATTATATTATCTTAAGGTTTCTTAAGGATTGGCTACACGCATGTGACATCCCTGTTTTTTCAGGCGTCCATAGACTACGGTTACTGTTTAACATCAGATATATGTATGTATCAAAATGACCACAAATAAGCATAATGACATGATCACCAATTTAGAAGGTGTTTCTTTTGGTTACAATCTTTAAAATATCAGCATTAATTACATATATTTTTATTATATTAAATAATGTAGAAAGTCGTGAAAAGGTTTTAAATTTATGAAAATTGTCACGACTCACAACACGACATCAGTGTTGCCAATTATACCGATTTTTCAGCTCTGAGTTTTTATATTTGGCAATTATGTATATAATATATTTTTTATGAAAGATCATTCGCCTACGTTAAAGGTAATTTTTGGCAGCAGTAAACTTTTTAATGACATAGTAGTGTTTTATAATGATTTATGTGCGGTCATTCGACCTTACTTGTCATTTATGATTTCCATATGATGAATCGTGTTAACCATGAGTTAATCACGCATAATGGATCACCAATAATTCAAATTAGACTCAAACAGCTTACTTGATACCGACTTTTCAGCTCTGAGTTTTTATAGGCATGTATATAATATATTTTTTATGAAAGATCATTCGCCTACGTTAAAGGTAAAGGCAGCAGTAAATAATGACTAAGAAGTTAGGTCAGTTAGCCTATGATGAATTTACCATGAGTTAATCACGATGGTATCTAGGAGGACCACGTGGAGGTCCACCTGACTTGATACTTTATTAACAATAGTGTAGTAGTAACAAATAATTGTTACTAGTACACTATTGTTAATAAAGTATGTAAGTAATTACGTATAAACGTTACATTTATACAAAAAATAGTTTAGAGAAATGACAAAACGAGCATAACTGATCGTAATTTTGAAAGGGGATCGGTATAGAGATTTGCTGTCAATAAATAACTTTTGTAATATCACGGCCGATAGTTTACTACTGACAACTGGCGTCATTGAGTGGCACGGTTAGTTTCCATATAAATTGAAGCATTTGTGTCGCCTATTTCGATATATGGACATCACGATTATGAGAATTTTCATTCAGGATTTTCGTGTCAATAGTAAAGTTTAGAGAGACTTTGTACAGACTCATTGGAGCCTCTTTCTCACTTATTTCTGTGGTTATTTAAGTGCGTTGCTTTATAAGATTCGTGTCTTAATGGTGAGATTTGGTGGAGAAATTACATGGTATGCAAACATTTCAGTTTAGGGCTTATGCATGAGGCGAGCCTGTACCCTGTAAATAATATGAAATAACAGTTCCATATTCTTTAATATTTCACCGAAGAATTCTTCGGAAATGTAAATTAATACTAATAATATTTTTTGTTTTTCATCCAATATTTACATTTAAAATTGTTCCCTAATACCAAAACTAAGTAGAAATTTGTATTCAAACTAAGTAGATTGCTTTGAAAATTGATATGCAACTTATTTGGCCAGTGACGGCCTCGGTGTTCTAGCGGATTAGGACACCGCCTTGCTCCCGATGGTTGCGGGTTCGCACGCTACAAACATTTGTATTAATGATTATGTTTGTATTGTTCTAGGTATTTTCTATATATTTCTTTTCTACGTATTTCCAAAGAAAAGTATTTAAGTTTTATCAGTTCTCTGGTTAGCTTGTAATGAGTATGATTGTTTGTAATATCAGTTTTCAAGTAACCATACTATAAGCTCTACTTAGCTTGGAACTAGATGGCGCTATGTGAATTATCCTGAGTTATTGGATGTATAAAACTATATTATAAACTATTAAAACGATATATATGTGTACTTATTTTTGCAGAAATTAAATTATATCCGAGCTTACAATCCGCTGCAGAAATTAATGTGGGCGGTAAGTAATTAATATGTTTTCTATATAGTGAAACAGTGGCGAACATTTCAGTACCACAATCCAAAGTCTGCTCCACAGGGATTACATCACTTCATCGAAGTGAAATAATCCTTATGCTTTTAAATTTAGAAATCAAAATTAGAGTGATCGTTGTGTAAAGTGATTTCTATTTTAAGGTACACAACAATAAGAATAAATTTCTTTTGATGAAGCGTTAGCGACTGTTGATTGAAATAGATTTATTTTGTACCTCTTGTAGGTTTACAGGATTGCGAATGTAAATTTAATTATACCTATTCTTTATGGGACATTTTGTTGGAATGACAAACAGAATTACATGAAAAGTATCATTAATTCAATTCATTTAATGGTAGAATCTAACGCTTCTGATGCAGTATTCTATAGAAGAATGGTACCCGTATTAAAAAAAAGTATATTAAACCACAGATAACATAATATTACAGTATAAACTGTCTTTATTTTTAATAAACGAATAAATAAAAATGAAGTAACAATAATTTATTTGTTTACAGGTCTAACAGAAGGTGCTGTGAAGCAAAAAACATCTCATAGTGTGTCAAGTAAAAAATTAACGAGGACTATACATGTGTTACTCATAATAATTATTTATGTGTTAAATTAAGATATTTATGAATGTATATAAATATTCATATAAGTTTAATTTATGTGTACAATAATAATAAATTTCATTGACTGAATGTAGGAAAAATTGCAATACATTTCCGAATGTGTATCTACGTTCTTATTTTGGATAAATGACACTGTGCATTATAATTTAATTTTGGTATGAAAAACCAGAATATATATAATTAATATTGGCATATAGGTTTTTAATAAGAATATTTTTCAGATTACTGTTACAATATTGGTCAGATGGTTTGGTATATTTTTGAGTTTTCTTGGAATTAATCCATATTTGTTTTGTAACGTGTAATGTATTAGAAAAATAATAACAACCATTTGAAATCCTTGTTTCAAGATGGCGGCCGTGGGACAAGTTTGGAACCTCACAAACTTCGATTTAACTTTACACTAACTCCCCCTTGATATCTAGAAAATGTAAGTTATATCAATGGCCTAAATGAATTAACCGCCAAAGTGATATTAAAAAAAAAAGAACTAGACAATTACATCTATGTATAGAGTGTCTCTGCTCTAACTAATGAGACTAAAGGCGAGTATTCAATCTTGATGAACTTAAAAAAAATTGTACACAATTAATTCTCAGGTGACAGTATGCGATAACGAATCTAATTAATTCGTGAAATAGCGAGAATTTCGCTCGAGACTATTCCAATCTGATTCTCGGCGAAATGTAGTGAACTCCAGTATCACTTTTTACGGGACAAGTTCCATGATTTATTTTTAGTTATTATTTAAATTGGATATGACTTATTTAGATTTCCACAAATTGGATTCAAGTTTAAGCTATTTAATACTTTATTTCACTCCCGATTGCATTTAGCCTATTAGCCAACACATTACTATAATAATAACCCGGGACAATTCACATAGCGCCAACTAGTCCCAAGCTGAGCAGAGATTGTATTCTGGTACTAGACAACTGATCAAATACTTAAATAATTTTTCTGTTAATACATACATAGACAATATTTCTGCTTATATTACATAAGCAGAAAATCCATAGATAAATACAAACAAAGATACTTATTACAAAATTTTTGTACCGTGCCAGGAATTGAATCCGCAAGTATTGGAAGTAAGGCGGTATGCTAAACTGCTATGTTGATGACCATGGAGGCCATCATTGTTATCATAAAACGTTTATAATTAATGAAATTGCTCAAAGTTGTGAATACTTAAGTAATAAATAATAGTAAATATTGATTAAAACGGTATTTATCAAATTATTATTAAGAATATTAATTAATTTATTTTCCTTTTATTCTCTTTTAATATGTTTTATTATTGTATATTCGAAGAATTGTGTAAGTATAATAAATACAGTAAATTTGGAAATAATTTTGTTAGTAGTATTTATATTAAATACATTAATACACAAAATCTCAATATTACAGTCGTATATACATATAATTCACAATATTAAATGAATTTTGACTATCTACATATGTGTCTGATAAATTGTAAAATATAAAATTAATAAGAAAAACTAACCAATTACAATACTAATTGAAGAAAAGGTTGTTTCATTTACAATGACTTATTTATAAGCTAATAATACTAAAAATATATATTAATTAGATAGTAGGTACAATGCTCACACAATATTCATTTTTGACTTATCTTCTTTGTCAACCCATGGTTCAAGTTTTTTTGGGGTCGGGTCTCCCTGTACATTTGTCATAAATATCTCTGTTTTGGATTTTTTTTAATAGACGATAATGTTTTCCCTCGCCTGCGCTGACGGTTTACACTGGCTAGTGCCCCACTAGTGGAAGATGTTAAGTTGAGCATGAGGTCAGGTCAGTTAGCTCATCGTGACAAATTTACCAAGAATCAACCTGACATGGTACATAGCGAGCAATGGGGTCATCAGTCCACATTACTAACACTTCTCTTCCCCCCCTCTGTTCTGGTTTTTTTTAGTGGATGATAATGGAATGATGTACTCGCCTGCGCTAAAGGTTTACGCTGGCGGGGCACCAGTGCAGGATGATAAGATGAGCATGAAATCAGGTCAGTTAGCCCATCGTGATAAATTCACCGAGAATTTATGACGGTGGTTTCCAGGGGGAACCGCGTGGAGGTCAATCTGACATGGTACATGCTAGCAATGGGGTCATCATTCAACATTACTAACAATTCCCTGTCCCCCTCTGTTCTGGGTTGTCTTAGTAGTAAGATTGTCCTAGTCTATCTGCTTCTTAATATTGTTCAACCAAGTGGCGAATTACCTGCATCTGCCTCTGGTCAAGATTGGTATGTCGAGTACTTTTGTATCCACGTAGTCGTCTTCTTTATACTAATACTTCATTTTTTATTAATAATATATAACGTAGTTCTTCGACGAAAAGACTAAACACATTAAATATTAAATTAGAGTTAGGTTTTGTTTGTTTTGCATTTGTTTTATTTTATTTGTTGTTGTTTCTATGAAATTGTTTCTGTTAATAATTTCAGATCTACATGTCATTATATATTATGGATGGATGTTTGTTACTCTTTCACGCAAGAACTACTAAACGGATTTTGATTAAACTTTACAGTAATATAGCTCATGCATCAGAATACCTGTGTGAAATTTGTTATATGTTATAACAAATTTCACACAGGTAAAACCGTGGGCACACTTAGTATAAAATAAAACAAAATACAATTGTCAATTTGTTTGTGAATTTATAAAAGCACTATTAATACTCTATAAAAATCGGTTTTATGTTTATTTTTGCATAACATAGTGCAGCATTTGCGGTTTATTTTCACTGGCACTTAATTAAATGATTAAACACTCATTAAATATTTCGGGTATTAATTTGTTCTTGGAAATGTAATAGTTTATATAAATAATATTGTACTTTTATAGTTCTGAAAATAATTAACAAGTATTTAGAGAACTAATTCATCAAAGAATATGTTGTAACTGGCTAATCAGATATATATTTTATATTCTAAATTTGCATTTGAATTTATAGTTCTTTTATATTACATTCTTGTTTTTGATACTTCAATTCCTTCTTTCTATTCTGTTATGTCTGTATTAATATATTTTCTCCGTTTACCTAGTCTTTTTTCTTATTACTACAACAGAATACAATAAAAAATTACTTCTACAATGAAACCTAAATTTAAGCACTTTTGAATAATCGTACTTATATTTTTAATCTACCACTTATTCGGAAAGTTGTCTTGTCACAAGAAGAACGAGCAAGAAAGTAACTTGCTCTTTGAAATAAATGTTGTAGTTTTACATTCTTAAGTAAGAAATGTGTGAATATAAACTACCAACTAGCAATAATACTAAGAGCATTCATTACTATGTGAAAGATGTATGTGTGTAATTGATGATTACTATGTGAAAGATGATGATCGTATGCACCATACTGAGAAGTAAGTTTTATATATAAGAAATATATTCAGATATAGAAAGAAAAAAAGAAAGAGAATATAGACCAAATATCGTAACACACACGAAACCCTAAATGTTACGGAAATTTTCATAAACGTAGATTTTGTAAAATATCATCCGCGTTGAGAACCTCTCTACCGATTTCAGCCACCAAGCGGATTGCTTTGTAAACTTCAGCTGAAGTAACATAAGGTAGGAAAATTACAGAATAAGAAGCATAATACCTTAGTGGTATACATGAGGTATACCTCATACGTGGCATTCGAGAGGACATTCTTCATTCTTTCTCTTCTATTTCAGTTCACAGTGCTGATCATGTTAATTGGGGATGGTGATATTTTGTCACCAATACAGAGTGTCATAGCATTTATGTAGTCCGTACCGTCAGTTTATTTTAATACATTATAGGTAGGTATATGGAATTTTACAAATATGGAAAAAAAACTCACTACCCTGTTGGTATCTACCTTTAGGGGACAGGTCTGTACGGCATATGGCTATTGATTAGACTTTTTCCTTTTGACAAAATTGCAATAGAAAATGCTGTTGGTGATTCGATACTCTTGAATTTAAAAAAGAATCTGTTAGTTTGCAATCAAATACAAGTAGGTCACTCTATTTTTTCTAATTGATTTAAAAATGAATTTGTATATTTATTAATATTTACAAGCTCATTTGAAAAGAAAAAGAGGTGAGTTCCTAATTCAGTACATAGATCGAAAGCATTTCGAATAGACGGTAAATTTAACATATTATAATAGTTACAGACTATAGTGATATATATACCTACAAAGATATTTTGATTTGATTTGATTTGATTTGATATCGCTTAACATAAATTATCTGACAAAAACTCGCAATCAATAAGCTAAGAACAATGTACGGTTTAATCATTTAATTTAAACCCAACAATACATTGTAATTTTTACGACGTTCATACCGGTGTGTCCGTAAAACATTATGTGGCCATCACAAAACATCCCTAATCCTTTCCGTAGATTGTAACTACAGCCTTAAACTGAGAGAAAGCAGTAAAACTGGACATAACATGCCACTAAGTTCTTTATCTTTGAAGATAATTCTTTACGGCCACGTCCAGTTGCGGTTTACTGCATTGTAAATCCTAACCGTTTCATATTATGAATTTATTTTTATTTCACATCTGTCTCTATGTCACGTCTTATTGATAGTTATCATTAATAGAAGGAGACAGAAAACGAGAATTACTTCTTTCTGAAATTTAACTTTTTTTTTTAGTGGATCATTCACTATACCATGGGAAACAAATATATCTAACGCAAGAAAAACAAATTAATATTATGAATTAGTAAATTAATGATGTATAATGGCTGCGTGCTTAATTTATATGCAGTCGAAATAGGAGCAAGATGTATACCAGTGAAATCTTTCTATAATCTTCTAAAAGATCTTGGCCTGTTTAGAACTATATTAAGTTATATACTAGAACCTGTATCTAAAGCAGCACTAGCAGGCTCCTACTACATTTGGCTAGGCAGTGAGAGAAACACGAGGGGTGAAGGTGAGTATTGACGTACGTCGGAAAAGGGCGCCTTTAAACCTACACCCAGGTAACAAGTCGCAGTACAAGGAACTGCATGGAG